CAATTTAGTAGTTTTAAAAGTATATAAGCACCTGGGCTCTTTTGTGAACACCTATAATCCTAGTGACTCAGGAGATTGAGGCAGGAGGATTGAAAATTCAAGACCAGCCTGGGAAATTTAGCAAGATCCTCTCTTAAAATAAATTAAAAATATATTTTTAAACTTGTAGAAGGATACAATATCTTTATTTTTATTTATTTATTTTTATGTGATGCTGAAAATAGAACCCAGTGCCTCACGCATGTGAGGCAAGCACTCTACCACTGAGCTACAACCCCAGCCTAAAAAAATTTTTTTCAAAGGACTGTGGATGTAGCTCAGTGGTAAAGCAGCCCAGTACAAAAAAACAACAACAAAAAAGATAAACAGTAGGGAACACCTACCACTTACCAGCTCATTCTATGAAGTCAATATTTCTCTGGTAATAAAACTGGACAAGGATATTAAGAGAAAAGAAGGGCTGGGGCTGTAGCTCAGTGGTAGAGCACTTGTCCCTCACTCGTGAGGCACTGGGTTCCATCCTCAGCACCACATGAAAATAAACAAATAATATAAAGATTTTTTTTTAAAAAAATCCTCCTTAAAAAGAGAAAGATAGAGAAAAGAGAACTACAAACTAATCTCTTATGAATACAGACATTAAAATCCTCAACAAAATGCTAAGATTTCAAATCCAGCAACATACGAAGAGGTTCATATACCATCACCAAGTGAAATTTGTTCCAGAAATACAAGGTTGGTTTAACCTCTATCAATTAATGTAATATAGCATATCGGTGCAATAAAGACAAAAACCACAAGATGATCTTATAGCATTTGAAAAAATTGAACATCCCTTCATGAAGAAACCAATCAACAAGGTAGAAATAGAAAGAAACTTCCTCAGCCTGATGAAGGGCATCTACAAAAAGTTCAAACTTAATGATAAGAGAACAAATGCTTTCCTCCTAAGATCAGGAACAAGACAAGAATGTCTGCTCTTATCACTTCTACTAATCATTGTAGTGGAAGTTCTGGTCAGGGCAATAGGACTAGAAAAAGAAATAAAAGCACTTAGACCAGAAAGAAAGAAGTAAAACTATCTCTATTCACAAGGAGCATGACCTCAGATATAGCAAATCCTAAGGAATCCACAAAACAACTACTAGAACTAATAAAACAAGTTTGCAACATATAAGTCCAATATACAAAAGTGAACTGTATTTATGTACTTTAGCAATATAATCCAAAATTGAATTGAGAAAACATTCCAAAATAATAAAATACATAGTAATAAATTTAATCAAGGAAATACAAGATTTTACACTAAAAAATACAATGCGTTTTTGAAAGAAATTAAAGAAAACCTAAGTAAATGGAAATTCATCCCATCCATGTTCACAGATCAGAAGACATAATGTTGTTGAGATGGCAATATTTTCTTAGTTCACATACAGATTCAATCTAATTTTCATCAAATTCCAACTGGTTTATTTGCTTAAATTGACAGGCTGATCCTAAAATTCCTATGGAAATCCAAAGGACCCAGAATTGCCAAAACAATCTGGGAAAAAAACTACAAAGCTACAGTAATGAATACTGTGTGTTACTAGTACAAGGATTAGACATACAGATCAATAAAATAGAACAAAGAGTCCAGAATTAAATCCTTATATTTAAAGCCACCTGATTTAAAAAAAAGTTAAATATTTTTTAGTGGTAGATGGACACAATACCTTTATTTATTTATCTTTATGTGGTATTAAGGATCAAACCCAGTTCCCCACCTGTACTAGGTGAGTGCTCTACCACTGAGCCACAACTCCAACCCCTAATGCCAACTGATTTTTGACGAGAGTGTCAAGAAAATTCAATGGGGGAAACAGCCTTCTCAATGAGTAATGCTGAGACAACTAGACATTCGCATGCAAAAGAATGAAATTTGACCCCTACCTCCCACCATATGCAAACATTAACACTAAATGAATCAAAGACTTAAATGTAAGAGCTAAAGCTCTTAGAAGAACAGATTCATGTAAATTTTTATTACTTGGATTAGGCAATGGTTTCTTGGCTATGAAATAAAAAACACAAGCGACCAAAGGAAAAACAGATAAATTGAACACTTCATCCAAATTAAAAATTTTGTGCAGCAGAGGGCATCATTAAGAAAGTATAAGACAGGGCTGGGGTTGTGGCTCAGTGGCAGAGCGCTTGCCTCACATATGTGAGGTACTGGGTTCGAACCTCAGCACCACATAAAAATAAACAAACAAAGGTATTTTGTCCATCTATAATTTAAAAATTAAAATTAAAAAAAGAAAGAAAGTATAAGACAACCCAGGAAATTATAAATTATATATGTCACAGGGCATTTATATCTAAAATATATAAAGAACTCTTATAGGCTCTCTACTCCTCCCCCTTTGACAGGCAATCACATCTTCCTATCTGGTGCAGTGCCAGCCACATCTCTGAGACACAATGGTGAAGGTCATAGTGAATAGATTTGGCCATATTGGGTGCCTCGTCACCAGGGCTGCTTTCAACTCTGGCAAAGTGGACATTGTTGCTATCAATGACCCCTTCATTGACCTCAACTACATGTTCTACGTGTTCCAGTATGATTCTACCCATGGTAAATTCCATGGTACAGTCAAGGCTGAGAACGGGAAGCTTGCCATCAATGGAAAGTCCATCTCCATCCGCTAGAAGCGAGATCCCGCCAACATCAAATTGGGGTGACGCTGGTGCTGAATATGTTGTGGAGTCCACTGGTATCTTCATTACCATGGAGAAAGCCAGGGCTCATTTGAAGGGTGGTGTCAAAAGGGTCATCATCTCTGTCCCTTCTGTTGATGCCCCCATGTTTGTGATAAGCATGAACTATGAGAAGTATCACAACTCCCTCAAGATTGTCAGCGATGTCTCCTGTACTACCAGCTGCTTAGCCCCCCTGGCCAAGGTCATGCATGACAACTTTGGCATTATGGAAGGACTCATGACCACAGTCCATGCCATCACTGCTACTCAGAAGACTGTGGATGGCCCCTCTGGGAAACTGTGGCATGATGGCTGTCGGGCTGCCCAGAATATCATCCCTGCATCCGCTGGTGCTGCCAAGGCTGTGGGCAAGGTCATCCCTGAACTGAATGGGAAGCCCATTCATTGGCAAGGCTTTCTGTGTGCCCACTCCCAACGTGTAGGTCGTGGATCTGACCTGTCACCTGGAGAAAGCTGCCACATATGATGACATTGAATATGTTGTGGAGTCCACTGGTATCTTCATTACCATGGAGAAAGCCAGGGCTCATCTGAAGGGTGGTGTCAAAAGGATCATCATCTCTGTTCCTTGTGGTGAAGCAGGCATCAAAGGGCCCCCTCAAGGGCATCCTGAGCTACACGGAGGACCAGGTCATCTCCTGTGAATTTAATAGTGATACTCACTCTTCCACTTTTGATGCTGGGGCCGGCATTGCCCTCAAAGACCACTTGGTTAAGCTCGTTTCCTGGTATGACAATGAATTTGGCTATAGCAACAGGGTGGTGGACCTTATAGTCCACAGGGCCTCCAAGGAGTAAGAGCCCCTGCACCACCTGCCCCAGCAAGAACACAGGAAGAGAGAGGTGCTCAGGGTAGTCCCTGCCCCTAACTCAGTCCCTCAACATGCTGAGAATCTCCCCTCCTCCCAATTTCCACCCCAGGTCCCCTGAAGAAGGGGGAGGAGCTGACAGGCTGATCCTAAAATTAATATGGAAATCCAAAGGACCCAGAATTGTCACATACCCTGTGACCTACTGTCACATACCATCAATAAAGTTCACTGCAACCAGAAAAAAAAAAAAAAAAAAAAAACTCTTATAACCCAATAACGAAAAGAAAAATAACCAAGGGGCAGGGGCTTTAGCTCAGTGGTAGTGTTTGCTCTGCCTGTGTGAGGCACTGGGTTCCATTCCCAGCTCCACATATAAATAAATAAAAGTCCATCGACAACTAAAAAAAAAAAAAA